GCTATCGCTACAAATATACCCGTGTGACTTAAGACTGGTTTTGTGCTCCAGGATCACATATATTAGGGCTGTAACGGCACACAAACATGACGATTTGATACGTACCTCAGTTTCGAGGTCACGGTTCCGTATGGTTTCGGTACAGGAGGGGGAAAAAAACTAGACATATTTAAAAAAAAATTTTAAACAGTGGTTTACTGAACAATTTTTTTTTCTTTAAATAAATTCAATTACAATTGAAAGTTCTTAGGGATAAAAATCTACCTCAGCTTATGCTCTGAACTATAGGGAGCCCTTTTACATAAGGTTAAAATTAACAACAGAGCCCAAACTTAAATTTAATTACTATGATAATGAGCTGTGGACACTGATGACTTGCCTGAGGTAAATGAAATGCTACGTGACATTTTGTTTACAAGCTGTTTTATTGACATCTTTCTGGAGTGAAACACAGACTGAGTGATTACGTGAGGCATGAGGTGTTCATTCATGTTTATTTTGTATTAAAACTAGGGGAAGGGATTATCACTCTCACTTGTGCTTCGTGCTGCCGTTTGAACTGAGGCGTTTGTACAGCAAACTGTCACGCCACATCTAAGAGCGTCAAAACGTCATTTTATTGTATGAATTTCCTGGAAAAAAATTGACATATTTGAAAGATGATACTTTGTTTCTTATTAAAAGTAACAAAATATAAAACTGGAAGTTCCCAATGAAGTTCCACTTAAAACAATAATGTGTTTGTTCGGTACACATGCGTGTATCTTTTCAGTACGAATACGTGTACCCAGGGCCTAAAATGAACAGGTTAAAATTAACAACAGAGCCCAAACTTAAATTTAATTACTATGATAATGAGCTGTGGACACTGATGACTTGCCTGAGGTAAATGAAATGCTACGTGACATTTTGTTTACAAGCTGTTTTATTGACATCTTTCTGGAGTGAAACACAGACTGAGTGATTACGTGAGGCATGAGGTGTTCATTCATGTTTATTTTGTATTAAAACTAGGGGAAGGGATTATCACTCTCACTTGTGCTTCGTGCTGCCGTTTGAACTGAGGCGTTTGTACAGCAAACTGTCACGCCACATCTAAGAGCGTCAAAACGTCATTTTATTGTATGAATTTCCTGGAAAAAAATTGACATATTTGAAAGATGATACTTTGTTTCTTATAAAACTGGAAGTTTCCAATGAAGTTCCACTTAAAACAATAATGTGTTTGTTCGGTACACATGCGTGTATCTTTTCAGTACGAATACGTGTACCCAGGGCCTAAAATGAACACTCGCCAAGCGCCAAATGCGAGTAAAAATCAGCGTTGGCGAGTATATGTAACAGTATCAGTCGCCAGTTGGCGGGTACAACTTTCACGAATTATAACAATGCAATGAAGTGAAAACAACAGCCAGTTTTTAAAGAGATTCGCTGTTTCTGACATAAGCGAATAAAATAATATTTTCCGAAGACAAGATCATCGTGATTAGCTGTTCTGTCATAAGCGACAAGAGCGAATCAAATAATAGGATACAAACGGACTGAAAAGGTCAGAGCAGTGTGATGGCCAGCTTGTCCCTAGACACAGTTCTAATCACTTAGAACTTATTGCTAAGCATTCTTATCCTTTTCTCCGATCAACTGAAAATAACAGGAGTGTGTCCATCTCACAAATGTAGAATCCGTCTCTGCAGTCATCTCAACCATCTAATTCCAGCAACAGAAGATAGACAAACTATTTTACCCGCAGAATTTTTTCCTCTGGTGCTGTTTTGCGGTGTTAGTAATATGTTGTTGTAACTTGCGTTACTGAGATTGTAACGAGTAATAATATTACCCAAATGTTATTAGTAATGCGTTATATTACTGCGTTACAGCAAAACGTAATATACTACTGTAATATTATTACTTTTGTAATGCGTTACTCCCAACACTGGTTACAATTATTATAATATTTATTATCCTGAACTTAATTTGATGACACATATGTAACATATTAATTGCATTAAGTCACCAAAATGAAAATATAAGAAACAAAAACACAGTGGTAGATGCACTTTAGCATAGAGAATGACTGACTTATCTTGTTTATGATGTTGTGAGTGACAAAATGACCCATTTTGTCTCAAATATGTGAAATAACAAAAAACAATAAAAACTTTTATTTTATTTTAGTTTACATTTTTCTCAATTCATCCACCATTGTCTGATAAAGGTAGGGAAGGCAGATTTGATGGGTGTCACTGTCAACTGTATACGATTGTGTGTGTGTGTGAGTGTGCAAAGGCAGCTCTTATCATCAATCACAATGTTTCTTTCCTCTGACATCCCACTTTATCACTCCCTCTTTATCTTCTTCTGCTACTCTTCTGATACTCTCTCAATGCTCTGTCATTTTCTCTCTGTCCGCTGGTTGTGTCCTGTCCTCTGTTAGTCCTCTAGTTTCGATTTCTGTCTCACAGTCACAATTATTTGATGTACATTTGCATTTACCACTGAATGAATCTCTAAACGCAAACTTTTTTGTATTGCCCGTTACAGCACTGCAGCTCCATAAATACCCTGCTAATCACCTGCTGTTGAAGATGTGTGTTTCTGTCTTTAAAGGCTGGTTTGATGTCATGCTGTGATTGTCCTAGCGATGAGCTCACGGTAACTGATTTCACAGTCAGAGCTCCTGCTGTGAGACACTTTCACCCGTCTCTCCTCCTGCGCTCAGTCTGTTTTTTGCTACATTGCCATTTTGTGATGATTGCAATTGTATCATTTGGCTCCTATAGGTTTTATTTACATGCTGCAGTCACTCAGTATCCTCCTCCAGGGGAACAGTGTGCTCTCCCAGTGAATCTCTCGCCCTAGTTTGTGAACAACTTCTTGAGCGTAACTTTGCCACACACTGAAGTGTCCTTGAACACAACTTAGTGTTAGTGAGTTGTGATGTATGAAATCAGCCGTGGATCTCTCCGCAGGTTAACTGTGCTCATGACTCTTAGTCAGTGTTTGGGGGAGCCCACATGGTTTTTTTTTATAACGGGGGGGGGGGT